TTTGTGTTCTCAGTCTTGTTTCAGTCTCACGCACAGCAGCTGTTAAAGAGGCGTTTCTTCTCAGCCGTTGAGTCCTTTGATTAGCAGTTTCAGCCTCACGTGCAGCAGCAGTTGAAGAGGCGTTTCTCCTCAGCCGTTGAGTCCTTTGATCATCATTTTCAGCCTCGCGCTCAGAAGCGTTCAGGTATGCTCTTCTGGAAAGACGATGGCTACATTGATCTTCGGATAGTGGCTCTGAGTGAAGCATTCCGAGAGGCATTTTGAGACAGGCAAACTGAACGTTCTAAAGACGATTCGTTATCTCTTATTCGCATGGCTGACCTGGCGGCAGCGGTTTTGCGACCTAGGCAAGTTCTTTGGTGGCATGTCTCAGGCAAGTATGAATTGTCAAATGGAATGCATGGACAAATACCAGAAGAGAAGGCTGTAAAGTTACAAGGATCACTAAGCTCGAATAACTTTAGGAAAGGTTGGAAGAATAAATGTTGTGTAATAAAAAGCAAGATTACATTTTACTACGGTGAATGCAATGTAAAAAACTGGCAGAACAATAAAAAAAATTTAAATTGGGAACAGCTATAAACGACAATGAAAGCAACGCCTTAAAACTGTAGTAGTAGGCTTTATGCAACGGAAAAGAGAGATTGATTGCTTGGCAAAGAAAAAGGGAATGTGTAATTTGGACTCAAAACATGCACTGAAGAATTATCTATCAAACAAAAAAAATTCATAGAAATCGGATGAAAACTGTGGAAACGCATAAAAAACATCCGATCACTCTCTCTCTCTCTCTCTCTCTCACACACACACACACACACACAGACACAGACACACACACACATTTTGAGAATTATAGATATAGATATATATACATATATGATTAATACAAATAAAATTTGTCAGCTGATTGATGTTATATTCACTACTTCGACTCTGGAGTTTCGTAGACAAATCCTTTAGTAATCGTTCTGTCCACTTGTCAGAAGGCTTCAGTATTATATATATATATATATATATATATATATATATATATATATATATATATTAGTAATTCAGTGTATATATTAAAATAATATATATTAATACATTTTCAAAATCCTCTTTCCTCATTATGTACTCTAGAAATATCAACTGTCTCTTTCTGATGTTTAAGTATGTGTGCTTTCCGTTTCGATTTTCTCTAAAAATTCATTGCGCAAATGTTCACTCCATGGTATTCTCAGCTTCCTTCTGTAGAATTACATTTCTGCTTCGAGTCCCTTCTTTATCTGTAAGGAAATTGACTAGCAATTACTGCCATATAAGTGGACTGATATTATGTAACAATTCAGTATTCTTTCTAAAGGAAGATTCCTATTTCTTAATACTTTGCTTAGCGTTTTGGAAGACATCTTTTGCTATCCCCTTCGGATTTTGGTGTCGTCTGATAGTTAATATTATTGAATAATAAAATCATAATCGGGTTAGAGTGATAAAAGTCTGGATTATAAAAATAAATTATGAACGTTTATTATTGGAAATATTTGGCATCGTTTGTCTTTTAAAAGTACAGTTGTTGTTTCCTTATGTATTTACATAAGGAAATAACAACTGTACTTTTGAAATGAACTAATATTTTAGCAAACAAGTGTAAATTTACATAGGTTCTTTGCTTCTCTAACTTCAAGATAATTTATTTCAATGAATTTGTGGGATGCATGGGTGGTGTAATGAGAAATCGGAGAGCCGAGTTCGATTTTCAAGCATGTCTATTGCTTTCACTTACGCGCAAATACTCTTGTAAAAATTACGAATCCATTTCCTCCCCACAGATCTAGGAAAATCAATGTTATTCTCTAAAAATTGTTAATGCAGTATTTACTCACAAAAAAAGAATTATTATTACAACTCAAAATATGTTTCGACAAAGTGTTGATAAACCGTAAAATAAAACAAATCAATTAACCTTTAACACACTACATTATTCACTACTTTCCTTTACACTGCATTATTTTTCAAGTTTACTTAGTTTCATCATAGTCATTTTTTTGTTGGCATAGCATGATATGACAACACAACTGCAAGATTCAAACACGCTATCATTCATTCATTTGAGTCAGGATAAAATTTTTGATTTGCATACAAAATTACTTCCAGAATGTTAAATGTTAATGAACCTCACAGTTCGTCTGATGTCTTTCCTATCCTCGTTTGCCATAGTCACATGATCAGCTTTCATTCAGTAAACGACACATTAAGAAAACGTGATTTTCGGCATGGTGACGTTAAATTTTGTTCGAAATAATAAAAAAAAATTAAATACAACTGGAAATATATGTCGGATAAGAATATTTTTGAAAATCTGTTGTAGAATTCCATCGCTCTGATTTACTTACATTAGATATAACAGCACAGGTGATCCATATTAGAACGGATAAAAACCGTTTATTTCTTTTATTTATGTTAAGAATTCTTTGGGGTTTTTTTTTTCAGTAACAATGAATTAAGATATCAATATGCCTTTTAAACATTCAGAATTAAAAAGCGCCCGTATACGAAATATGATCAGATTAATTCATTGAGTAGTTTGAAACCTTTATGGACCGGCCAGATTTGACTCACTAAACTTGGTCATTTAGTTTACAACTGAATTTAATACCAATTGGTTGTAAAGGGTATACGCTACGGGATCAGCCTGGGCACTACAGCGACTTACATGTAGCCGCAGCTTGCTTCGAAATTAATGAAATTAATTTTCAGTGACAGATGATCAAATTCTGATATTATAACAGCTAGGCATAAACTTATGAATGACCACAAGTCATTGAATGGTGTTTTTTTTCTTTTACCGTGACATCAAGTCTGAAGCGAGAGAAATAGATGAATTTAGTTCAGATGATGAATCTATCAGAACACACACACACACACACACACACACACACACACACACACACACACATTTAAATTAGAGTTAATTTAAAACTGGTAAAATTCTGAAATAAATTCAGTTTGGAAAAGTTTAATCACTATACGGCTTATACATTTGCGTGTGCGGAGCTGTGAACGATCCCTTTCTTTACGCTGTATGGATGGTGGGAGTTGAAATTGAGGTACTGCCCGTTGAATATCGGTTTACGGTATACGGATGTCTTGAACCCTGTTCGAGATATTAGAACACCCAGGAATGGGAGTATGTTTTCACTCTCTTTCTCTGAACCTGAACATCTTCCTGGTGTGGCCAGAGTATGAAGGTGTCATCTACGTACCTTAACCATAGAATTGGCTGTGGATTTTAATGCCATTTCCTCAAAGTATTCCATGTATATATTCGCCGTTACTGGTGATAATGGCGTGCCCATTGCTAAGTCCTCATCCTGTTGGTATATGTGTGATCCCATTCCGAAGTCTGTTGTTTGTGTACAGAAAGTCAACATCTCCATCACATTATCTATTGGAATACTGGTCCGTTCTTCTAGGGAAGAGTCAGAGGTCAATCTATCTCTGACTACTGAGAATGCCTCCTCCGTGGGCATCTTGGTGAACAAACCCACCACGTCCAAGCTCACCATCTGGTCGGATAGGATGGGAGCATCTTTGATTATTTCCACGAAGTGGGCGGAATTTCGGACATATGAAGGAGACTTTCCGATCAATGGGTCAATTATATCTACAAGGAAGCGACTCAGAGGGTGGCACACAGAGCCTTGGCAACTAACAATCGGTCTGAGCGGAATACCGTCTTTGTGAATCTTAGGGAGACCGTATATGTGAGGTAGCTTGGTGTAACGCTGCGATAATTGCCTATACGTCTTAGTTGTGAAGTGATCCTTGTTCTTGATTAGTATCTGTGATAGTTTTCGTTCCGTTTTCATTGTAGGATCCTTTTTTTACTTTGTTGTAGCTACCATTGCTAATGAGGTCTTCTAGCTTTCTGGAAAATCATACATTTTTGTTCGAGGAAACTACGATTTTCAGTTAATGTGCAAACATGTATAGTTGGCATTTTTATTTTTCATAGAAGACAATAACATTAAACGGACATCATGGTTTAAATGAAGAAAAAAGCAGACAGGATACATAACAATAAGTGCCTTTTATAAAAAAGATACCGAATATTGATTGATTGATTCGTTTTTTACAGTTTATCAACCCTATGCAAGTTATTTAAAGCCAGAAAATATTTTTTTTAGATTGTAAGAATTTTTTTGGTGTGGAGATAATACTAATTAACTCATAGTTGAGACGGGAAGAGATGGATTTATACATTTCCTTAGAGTATTTGCGCGTTAATATAACGAACCTAGTTGAAATTGGAATTCGGCTCTCCGATTAACAATTTTCTGTTATGATGTATCAGCAAAACAATGGGTAACTGATGATAGCCAGATGGTATTCGGCTGAAACGTTGACAAGATGATAACACTATTTCGAATAAATTAAAAGTATATTGACAATCTTTTTATCCCTATTTCTTCTTATCTTGTTAAATACTTATATTCTTGTCTATCATTTTCCTATTTCCTACTCATACTGGTGGCCAGTGTTCAATCAAGCCCAAATAACAACTTAATCTTGAATGTTGATTTTCACGGCAGACAAAACTTCCTAGCGTGAAAACTTGGTAGAATGTGATATTTAACAGTTTGTTTTTTTTACAAACTAAACTAAAATTATTCTAAATAAAGGTATTTTAATTAATAGATTAATTTATTTAATTAATAGATTTCCAACAGCAAAGGTCTTTATTGATTAATTTTCTATAGTTTATTATTCCTTTGCAGGTTATTTAAAATCAGAAAATATTTTAGATTGTACGAATTTGGTGGAGGGAGCAGGTATTAAGGATTTAATGATACAAGACTCACTAATTAACCCATAGCTGGAGGAAGAAAAAAGGAATTCATACCTCCCTCAAGGGTACTTACGCGTAAGTGAATATAACGAATCCAACGGGAATTAGAACTCAGCTCTCTGATTAACAATTCCCAAACATTATCTATTACACCACCCGCACATCCAAGCTTACAGCACCTGGCATTCCCAAGCGATCACCCATCTAGGTACTGTCCCAACTCGACGTTGCTTAACTCCGGTGATCGTACGGGAACCGGTGTTTCAACGCTATATAGCCATAAGCCGATAACAAATATATACAGTTACAGTAGGTAATTGTCTGTAGACACAAAGTTAGTTAATATAGAATTGTTCAGTCTGATAGAAAAAAATGGATTTTTTTTTTACACAATTCGCAGTGAAGGTTCGAGTGGATTAAAAAACGCCTTTTGTCTATGTATAAGTTTCGGTAGTAGGATTGACTTACTAGTTACTGAATTCGAGCTAGTTTAAGTGACGTAGATTTTGTCATAGATTTTGTGAAAAGAAAAAGAAAATGAATTTGATATTTGATTTTAATTCCACACATTTTCTAATCGTACCCTTTAATTAACCATTTTCCCGGATCTTTCCAACCACCACCCACTGCTAGACTACTGTGTGTAACCGACGCCCAAGAGAATGCTTCCCCGATCACTACAATTTCAACCAGTTCAAGTTTAGGTTTAACCGTTATCTTCCCTACATATCATCATAAACTATGCCTCTTACCTCTTATTCTGTAACTCTCTGCCTCGAGTGGACCTTGGAATTTTATAGAGGGAAGATTATTGTAAAAAGTAAAAGCAAGACATATGACTCTAGACTACTGAACGTATCCTTACAATTCGTATGCAAGTTAGCAGCCCATTAACAAAGTTAATATATTTTCTAGTTGCTAGTTTTGGTCGTTGTGTTTGATTGATTTGTTTTTTTTTTACGGCTTATCAACCCTTTGTTGGTTATTTAAAGCCGAAAAATATCTTGCATTGTGAGAATAATTTTTTTGCATTAACATTTTTTGGAGAATAATGTTTTAATTAAAAGTCCTACTATTTAACCCATAGCCGGGTGGAGTAGATGGATTCATACCTTTTCCAAGGGTATTTACGCGTACCTGAATGTAACCAGTCCGAATGGAATTAGAACTCGGCTTTCCGTTTTCTTATTACACCATCCGCACACCCAGTTATTTTGGTTGTTCGCTAGACCACTATTTAAGTGAGACTTCTTTAGACTTGGCTATACTAAAAGATTCAACAGCGTTCGCCATATCTTTGAAGATAATAAATCAAATGCTTGTATCGGCGAAAGTATAAATCCAGCTCGGATTAGAAAGTTTCTTGCAGGCACGTAGCGTGCATGTTAAAACACATCAGTATTAAAATTAACATGATCTTCAATTCTCGATTTTATTTAACCAATAAAGACTTTCTTTAATAACATAAAGGCATCTTTACTGCTCTGTCAATCGGTTTGTTCATTAATAGCTTTATCAAAGTAACTCGTATCAACCAGTTTTATGTCAGTCATTCGGTATGCATATGTGTGTGTCTGCGCGTGTCTGTATGTGAAATTGCTTTCCTTAATCTTAGCTTGATCTATCTTCAAAATTATTATATATTTGTTTTATATTATTTCTCATATCAAAGACAGCAATATCATTGGACATGGCATCTCGACTTCAGTCCCTTTCCCATCGCCGTAATGTAGCTTTCCTGTGCCTTTTCTATAAATATTTTCATGGTAAGTATTCTGAAGAACTCTCCTTTGTGGTACCTAAACTCCATGAATTTAAGCGAATTACTAGATAGGCGGCAAGATCTCATTATTTTAACTTTGAAATGGCTAGATGTAACCGTAAATTCTATGCTAGCAGTCTCTTACACTATTTTCATTGGTCGGACTGCTGTCCTCATCTTTATTGTCATATTCACGACGTTTCGTCCGTTATACGCTTCAGGTAATATACGTTCGAACTGAACCCTTTATTTAGTCCACGGGGGTAGATAGTTCTAGTTCCACGTGTCATGCCTCTTCTGGATATCTCAGTTTCAGTTAATTCCTATTAGTAACTCAACTCTCCAAGTTTTTTGTTCAGTTCTTCTGTTGAACTCACAACTCTTTGGGTCAAGTCACTGGATTACTTCAACCAACGTTTTTATCCACTGGACCATGTATCCAAATAGTTACAATACTTCATCTAAGAAATATAGACTAACAGTTTCTTTGCATGTGCGACTCTCTTCTGGCGTTTTGCGTTTCAGTCAAGTTTGATCTTAAAAGATTTAAGTGCAATAACAATCGTTTTCTTTTGTCCTCTTAAATTATGTTCTTTTATTGTTCCTGCTAATTAATAATAGTGTTTTCTTTTACATTCAGTAACCTCTTGCATGTTAGTGTCTCTGTTGTTCTACTTGGGGTGAAATCATTAAAAAAGACGTCATATCCTTATTGCGTGTTGAATGTCGTTGAATGTACAGTAGCTATGTAGTAATATTCAAAGTTCAATAATTATAGTGACTAGTATGTAAACATTTTAGATGTTATGTCAAAATACCAGGCTCCTGGAAAAGCCTGTCAAAATAACAGTGAAAATTTGCTGGCATAGAAAAAAAAAACAGATCATGGCGTATAAAAAAGAGAGTATTCAACCAATCGAATTGTTTTGAGGAGATTCAAAATCGTCCCAGTTTCCTGAAATCAGATAAATACAAAACCTTTTCTAATGAAAGGGATGGATTTTTTTATTAACTAAATTCAATAGATTTTTATTATGCGTTATTTTTAGTGGATACTCATTTGAGTAGAAAGCTCCGTTTATTTATTAAATAGTATATTTATTTTCGTATACCGCCCTGAATATTAGAGAAATCTTATTAGATAAAAATATGCAGTCTCCAACAGGATTTGAAGATACGTTCCCCTAGGCCAGTAGACGAAGATAAATAAATATACTGTTTAATAAACGGATCATCTACTCAATTCCGAGTATCCACAAAAAATAACGTTTAAGTTATAAAATCTGTCGGATTAATAAACAAATAAATAATCCATCCCCTTTCTTTAGAAATTGCTTTTTTTTATACGAAACTCAGTAAATATAGCTACTTCGAGAGTCAAAGAAAAATTTGTGTTTAAAAGCACATTTTATCTTTGCTTGGTCATCGATGCACTTCATAGTCGAGAGGTCCAATGTACGTCACATCTAACGACGGTTTCCGCTACGAGAAAACAGGTTCGATTACTGCTGGAGAATGCACATTTTTCTCTAATAAGATTTTTCGAATATTCAGTCTTGTATACGAAAATAAATAAATATAAATAAACGATGCGTCTACTCAAATACGTGTATCCACTAAGAATAACGTTTAAGTAATACAAAATTTTGCAATAGACTTTCAATGTCAGCTTGTCTACACAATTTTACGCTGACTACCTTTCTCCCAGGAGCGAAGCAGCTAGAGGTCAAAATACTTACCGACAGCTTCGTTTCTCTAAGTCAGTACGTTTGTGTCTCCTGTAAACTATAAGTAATGGCATTTATTGAAATGTATGAACTTCTTCTCTACCAGACCAATGTCCACTTTTACGAACATTTCAAATAATGAAACTGTTTACTATGAATAGATACATTCACAAATATCAACTTTTACATACAAAAATAAATAAAAGTCAATTTTAAGATTTAGCACAATTACTAAAAGTTTATTTGCTGTATTAATTGTGACTATGTCTAAGTGCCAACACCGTTAAGTCTATATTTGACAAAATAAAGGAAAGAGGGAGAGAAAATAGACGAAGAAGAGTTACTCTTGAGTAAAATGTTATGAACTACCACTAAGAAAACTTTTCTCCACTGGTTGACCAGACGCTTATGCATTTCCAGATTAGAAAGCTCAGACGATAGCTGAATTGTTACTAAAAATATTTTTCCTTGATATAGGGGCACATGTGCCTTAAAATAGGAATGTTGTGATAAAACTGGAAGTGGAGTGCTAAGTAAAGCTAACTTTAAATTTTAAATGTCACCAGAATTAATATAACCAATTTAACCCCTTCTTAGGGGTTAAGGGGGCACGGTGGAGTAATTATAGCGGCTCGGACTGAGGAATCGGAGAGCCGCGTTCAAATTCCAGTCGAATACATTACACGCACTTACGTGCTGGAAAAGGTATGAATCCTCTTCTTTTCCCCCCAGCTTTGGGTAAATAGCAGGACAGACCGGCCTTGGATGGCAACTGGTCTACGGCAGAAAGAAATGGCAACCTACTGCGGGAAAAAAATCTGCCTCGTCAGTCATGTATCGAAAGATACATGATCGCCTACGCGTGTATCACGCATGACACATAACTGACTGAACCCTTTTTCCTTATCATCCTCAAAGTGGAGAATTTTCATTTGATATATTATGGATTATTGGATATATTAACCAAACTAACAGAAGAACAGATTGGTATTTATCGAATATAGATATAGAGGCGTTGGTAATTAGCCATAGTCGTAATTAGCACGGTAAATAATTTTCAAATAATTGCGGGGTATTTTTCTCCAGGGAGAAAGGTAGTCGCTTAGCGTAGATTTGTATTGAACTCAAGTTTTGTACTCTGTATCACATCGGAAGATCAAAAGAGCAAAGTGCATAAGAGGGTTAACCTGGAAAGTGCCCTCGTAGCTAACTGACCCAAAATCAGGCCTCAAAAGATGTCAGTAGCTGCACCGACATATAAACAGGAAGTCCACCCAGCTGAACTTAGGATATATAAACATAAGACAATTGAATGACGAGAAGTTATATAAATGTCTATATATAAATTCATAGCGAAGCACCAGAACAAAAGTGACAGAAATATTCAATCCACGAATGAATGGTTAACTTTTAAAGGTAAATTCTGACGAGAAAAAAAATCATTTAGCACGACACAGTGAACTAAATTTTTTAGTATGTAGGCTTAGATAGTGATTTCTTATAATCGTTTCATTAAATGTCAGTGGAAAATGTTAGACTGAGAAGGCGCAGTGAGTCACTCTCCTGGAGGTTAGCATTAGCCATGCTGATAGAGGGCAAAAAAAAGTTGTTTCTTTTTTTTGTTATTTTTTCAGACGATTAAAAGAGAGCAGTTTTGTTTTGGAGGCGTTGCAATTTCTTGCCCCAGGTAACAACAGATTGAAGATCGAGATCAGCTGCTAATTTGATTTTATCATACCTATTAGACTTCCCACTAAACAAGAAAAAATAGTTGTGTCACCAACATAGATA